AAGCTTCTCCTGAGGACAGAGACACCCCACATTGGCTTTCCTTTTGCTGTGTTACCAGGGTTCAGTCCTGATCCAAGGGCTAGAGTGGGGCCACCCTGGGGAAGGCCATGCTCTGGAGGGGCCTGGGCTGGTGCTGGGTCAGGTCAAGACCAACACCTGTTGAGACTGGAGAGAAGGGGCCAGATCGGGAGCTGTAGAGGGATGTGAAGGAGAGACCCATTTTAACATCGAAATTTAACTCTCCTGTTCCTTTTCTCTTTGTCCCCGGCGTTAAGAGTCAGTCTGGGTTGGGGAGGAGGTATTTCCCGTCCCACCAGAGGACTGTTGGTAGCTCAGGTGTTGGTAGGAAGGGGAACCGCTGGGCTTGCTAATCATTAGGGCCACCATTGAGCTTATGGGGAAAGTAGAAGTGGGCATTTGGGTGGAGAGAGAGACAAACGGGTGGGAACCTGGGTGAAGACTCCAGGAAGGAGCAAGGGCAGTACCAGCAGGGCGTCCCAGTGCTCTGAAGAGCCGGCTGAGTGGCTCTCACTAAGGTGCCCTGCAGGGGTCGAGTGGGGTCCAGGGCCTCACCCAACTTCCCAACCACCCAGGTCTGTCTGGGACAGAACCTTCCACACCACCCACATCCTGGTCCCCCACTGTCCTGCCTGGCAGTGGACCTGCCCAAGATCTGGCCACATGGATATGGTTCAGTTCCCCGGGCAGCCATGGGCCCCAGGGGGCTGCTGGACTCGGGCAGGGAGGAGCTCCCACACCCATCCCGGAGCAGGGTTGTAGGCGAGCTGAGCTGAGCACATGGCTGTCCTCTGATAGGGTCAGGGAGGTCCTATCATTACACAAGGGAGGCCACGCAGGGCTCGGTGAGGGATGACAGGAGTCATGGTGTCACTGCAGAGGTGCTGGAGGGAAGGTAGAAGCCCTCTTGGCCACGTTGAGTAGCACTCAGTAGTCAGTAATGTTTATTGGATAAAGGAATGATTGAACAAATGAAAGAGAAAAATTATTCACTTCTTTTTCTGCAAGCCTTGTTTTCCTCAATTACAAACTGAGGATACCATCTACCTAGCTGGTCTGTTGTGAAATTTAAATGAAATAAGCTGGGTTAATTTCACCCCCTCATTTAAGAGGCAGCTGAAACATCACCTCCTCCAGGAAGCCTTCCCCATGGCTTTGGAAACTGTCTGCCTCCATCACTGGATTCGGAGCACCTTCAAGGGAGAACACCTGACTGATCTGGGTCCCCCAGCAAGTGACTTCAGTGCAGGGCTCTGCACACAGTGGGCACTTACTGAAGGCTGACAGACTTCCTTGCCACATAGGCGGCCAGTTGGTTCTCCCCCACTCCTAGCTGATCACCTGGCAGGAAAGTGTCCAGTGAAGTAACCTCTGGCCACCAGATGGCACCCCTAGCCATGCAATGGCTCTATTAGGGGGCTCACTGGGGTGCTGGGGAGAGAGAAGGGGAAGGCTGCCCACACAGGCCACCAGGGGTCAGCACCCCAGGCCACTCCTTCCCCACCCCTCACCTGGTCCCTGGCAAACCCTAGCAGACTGAATGGCTGGCTGGACAGGGGAATGGAGCAGGTGTGCTCCAGGGGACACTCAATGTATGAGTGAAGGGAGGGTCTCCTAGAGGACCCCCACAATGCAGCCATTCACTCCCTGCTTGGCTGCCCAGGTTGAGATTGGTGCTTTAATTAGCACCTCTGTGCACGTTGCCCAACCTGGAAGAACCAGAATCCTGGGTGCTTGGGAGCCTCCCCACCCCCCACCCCCAGGCAGCGCTGTGGGGCAGGGATCCCCACCTAGAGCTGAGACTCTGGGTGCACCATCTAGCTCTGCCATTCCTTAGCAGTGTGACCTTGAGCAGGTGTGTCACCCCTGAGCTTTAACAGGTCCCAACGCCCACTTACCAAGGCCCTGCTACTTGCCAGGCAAACTGGGTGAGGTGTCTCCATAGGCATTATCTCCTGGAAGCCTCCCAGCAGTCCAAGGGGCAGGTGACGGCACCTTTCTTAACAGGTGGGGCCAGCTGGCTTTCCAGATGCAGATCTCACCCCTCCCGTGTGCACAGGGGCGTGAGCATAGTGCTGCGCCCCCCCCCCCC